AAGCTTCTTGATGTATTGTATTTCTGTTTTGTTTATCCTATCAGGCCTTGCCGATATTTCATTTGATGAGTTTTTTTATTTTTATTTTTTGCTGCTTATTAGTGATTCCTCTTAATGATGTGTGGTTTGGAATGATTTTCAGAAAGCAATATTGCTATGGATGTATGATCCTGCCATGCGCGATGCAACTGTGGTAAGGCAGGCTTTGATCAACGACGCTAATCTCAAAGTTGCTACTGAAGTCATTTGTTCTCGTACTTCAGCTCAGATTCAACACTTTAAGCAGATATACCATGCTAGTTTTCATGCTTACCTTGAGCATGATATTGAGAAGCAAGCATCCGGTGATCTGAAAAACGTCTCTCTCTCTCTCTCTCTCTCTCTCTCTCTTTCTCTCTCTCTCTGCTATATATATATATATATATATGTGTGTGTGTGTGTGTGTGTTCGTTTATGTGTATGTGTGTGTGTGCGCGTGCTTGCGTACTTGTTGAAAGGAAATGTGTTTGGTTAGTGATAGGTAATTGTTTTAACAATGGACTTGAAATTATAGTTTTTCCGTGTACCTTTATGAAAATGTGGGATCGGTTTCCTCCTTCATATTATTTTATATCCAATTAGTGATACCTCTAATTATCCTTCACCGATTTTTCTCTGCTTTAGATGATTAAATGAGTAAAGATAAATAAATTCATACCCACGAGAATAATCATTTTACATTGTAAGTTACATTTTATCATTTGTCTCTCCCTGTTTTGCAGCTGCTGCTTGCCTATGTTAGTGCAGTGCGTTATGAAGGCCCGGAGTTCGACAGGGGAGTTGCTGAGCATGACGCTAAGACGCTCTATAAAGCCGGGGAAAAGAAGCTGGGCACAGATGAGAAGACTTTCGTGCGCATTTTTTCGGAAAGGAGCCGGGCCCACCTGGTTGCTATTTCATCTGCTTATCACAGTATGTACGGGAAATCACTGGAAAAGGTAGGTTGTCTTTTTCAAGCATTGTGTATATGTACATTTGACCCTTTCCTAGCTCTGGATGTGGCATAAAAGAATGAGTAATATTTTTCTTCAGGCCATTAAAAGTGAAACATCTGGATACTTTGAATTTGGGCTTCTGACTATATTGCGGTGTGCTGAGAACCCTGCAAAGTACTTTGCCAAGGTAAAAATATGGATTATTTTCTTTCTTGCTTCTTTTTCTTTCTTTCTAGTCATGGTAAAAGAATGTTGCTTTTCGAGAATACAATGAAGGTACTGCACAAGGCAATGAAGGGCATGGGAACAAATGACTCGGCCCTGATTAGGGTAATAGTGACGCGTGCTGAGATAGACATGCAGTACATTAAAGCAGAGTACCACAGGAAATACGGCAAGTCGCTTGATGATGCTGTTCATTCCGAGACTTCTGGCCATTACCGCACGTTTCTCCTCTCTCTCTTAGGGGCCACGCACCACCGCTAGATTAGTTTATTAAAAAGGGTAAATAAAATAAAGATGAAAAGAATCCCTCTTTTCTTGATTTAGTTGTTTGTGAGTCTGAGGGACTGCTGCTTTGCAAAGTAACTTTGTGGAAAAGAGAGAGAGAGAGAGAGCAGTCTAGTTGTTTTCTATTATGTATGTTTTGTGTGAAGTGTGTAGCGTGGGCCGTGTAGTAGATTGAACGCACATAATTATTGTATGTTTTGTGTGAAGTGTGTAGCGTGGGCCGTGTAGTAGATTGAACGCACATAATTATGGCTTGTTTGTTCAATAAATTAAGAATAAAACTAATTAGTATGGTTTGCTATGTCTGTGTCATTAATATTTGTAGTTGTAATGTTAGATTGATCTAATGTAACAAAACTAATTAGTATGGTTTGCTATGTCTGTGTCATTAATATTTGTAGTTGTAATGTTAGATTGATCTAATGTAACAAACTTTTTACAACTATACCCACTTTTATTAGATTAGAGTAGAAAACGTAATGCATGCATTTAAAATATACCATTTAAAATATACCATGCTCAAGTAGGAAAGTTAATAATCTATCTACTTTTATTATATTATAATTATAACTCTTTTAAGAGAGTAGTTTCTTAAAAAAAAATTGAATTGTCAATGCCCTTCACTACAATTTATTTTCAATGTCACTAATGTAATTTTATAGAGTTACAATTATTTATACTCAGTTTTCAATAAATTTTTGTTAATTTTTCAATAAAACTAGTATGAATAAGAAATTTTTCAATAAACTAGTATGAATAAAAAATATATATTAATAGTTATAAATTAAAAATACTCATTAAATGCCGTCTCCCCAATTCGCTCCCCAATCTTTTGTAACCCTAGCTTCAATCGTCGGTTAATTGCGTCTCTCTCGGCGTCCATCCGGCTTGCCGGTGCGCTGCCCACCGTCGAGTGTCCACGTTGCTTCTCGCGGCACCTCCACCCCTCTCTCTCTGCCGTGGGGGTGAGGATGGGGATTTTCGGCGGATTTTCTCGATCCGTGTTTGACGACCACCGGAGCTTCCAGGGAGGAGAGGCTAGGTGGAGTGCGGCAAAGTGGCTGCTGTTGTTTGCATCGCCACTGTTCAGATTCTCCTTTTCAGCCTTAGTCGACGACCTTTGCATCCTCTCCGGCTCTGTGCTCGCCGGCGTTATGGAGTGGCAGGGGGAAGGCTGTGGTCCGTCCTTGGGGGCTGCGTGGGGAGGTCGATTTTGAGATTTGGTCGGAGCGCCTTGTTGGGATCAATGAAGATATCGTTATGCACAAATCACGAATTCAATAGCAAAACATAAACCTATGCGCATCGGATCTAAAGGTTTGCGTAGAGAACTTACGACTTAAAATTTATGGCGATCTAGCTGATCTTCTGGATGGCCATACACAGCACACCAATGAATTGTTGACTACAAACCGCGTCCTAGGATTGCACGAACAGGATCGGATCGAATACCAGATCAAACGAGTGCAAAACGAATGAAGAAAAGTTGCAGTCCTGGGACCTTGCGGCGGCGCGTGCGGGCGCATGGGTGGTCGGACGGTTGTAATCTTGGCGGCGATGGAAAGCCCTCGTCGAGACGGTCGTCTGGGTATGCTACACGTCTTGATCGGACCTCCGGTTAGTTCTGTACGACCAAATATATTTCGTCTCACTTTACCCAAAGGTCTTCTACTGTATATCTCAAACACCTCTTAATCTTGTACCAGTGGAACAACAAGAAGAAGATAAAGCTCGAATGGGAACTGAGAGAGAGAAGAGAGGCGTGGGGCGTGATTTCTAAGATGTGGAATTTTCTACTCTTCCCCTGAGCTTAATAATGTATATATAGAGCTACAGTAGGGATCCTTAGGAGATTAGGATTAGAGCTCCTTAATTAATTAAAATACTTGTTGAACAAGCCACTTATTTTAATTAATTAAATAATATTAAATGAGCCACCAACATAATATTATTGTACTCCTTTTTCATAGCTCAATTTACAATTGAGACTGCAATAATAATTACTCGATTTATCTCCCCATGTTTAAGATATAATGTCCATTAATTAATTCGATTACTAACAATCAAGAATTAATTAATTTATTATTATTTCACCGAAGCTAGCGCTCGTTCATCACATTATTACTATGCCGAAATTTAATCCACCTGCAGGGTTTAGCATAATAATCCTTCATGAACTCACTCCGGGGACATCATCAAACTAACGCACATGGTGACCGTAAATATCCTAACAACACATCCTATATGTAGCAATATTACCCAAGACAACGGGTCTATTAGCCTAATTCACTAAGCCTCACCCATGTGAATCAAAGTAATAAATACTACACATATATGTCTGTTTAGTATCTTACGGGTTAAGAGTACGCAGTAATTAACTGAGGCCTAATTCGTTTACGACGATCAGTATAAAACGAACTGCTCCTCTCTGGGATCCTGTTCAATACATAAATGTACTAGTGCAACTAATCAGTCAAGACAAACTGTAGAGTTGACACTACAACCGTTCGCGAAGGGGTGTTCATGTCCATTTGGGTTGTGAACCACTTATTCTTGTTTCGCGAGTAACTGATAGCATGATCTTCGGTTCACCCGATCACGACCCACACTATCTAATGCAAAACAACAAAACGTAGAACTTGTTTAATCTAACATGTTTCTCATTCATAAAGGGTAAAAGTGTAATATCATCCAAAGCCAAGCTTTCAGTATATGACACTAACAATCTCCCACTCATACTTAAAGCTTTCGCTTTTACAAGTATAGTTCTATCAATCCGTTATTCTAAAAGACCTATGTCGATCCTATCGTCATGCACTTGACTCCCATTCCTGTCACGTGTTTGACGAAGACCTTCTCCGGCAAATTCTTCGTGAAAGGATCAACTAGGTTGTCCTCAGATGCAATCTTGGCAACATCAACGTCTCATCTACCAACTATCTCTCGGATCAGATGGTACTTTTACTCTATGTGTTTACTTGCTCTGCGGGCTCGTGGTTCCCTTGAGTTTGCTACTGCTCCACTGTTATCACATACACGGTGATACCACGTGGCAAACTCGGAATCACCTCTAAGTCCACTAAGAAGTTTCTGAGCCAAACTGCCTCTTTCGCTGCCTCTGAGGCTGCTATGTACTCGACTTCCATGGTGGAGTCTGCCACGCATTTCTGCTTAGCACTCCTCCATGAAATGGCTCCACCTCCCAAGGTAAACACATAACCAGAGGTTGACTTACTCTCGTCCTTATCTGACTGGAAATCAGAATCACTATAACCCAGAGGTAACAAGCTGTCTGCACGGTAAACTAACATGTACTCCTTAGTATTTCTCAAGTACTTGAGTATATGCTTCACCGCACAACAATGTTCCCTACCCGGATTACTTTGATATCTGGCTACTAAGCCAATGATGTAGCTGATATCTGGCCTGGTACAAAGCATAGCATACATAAGACTTCCTACTGCCGATGCATAAGAAACTGTCTTCATATCCTCAATCTCTTGAGGTGTCTTAGGAGACATCTCCTTAAAGAGAGGGATTCCTTTCCTGAAAGGTAAGGTACCTTTCTTGGAATCTTGCATGCTGAACCTAGCCAAGACAGTATCTATGTATGATGACTGGGATAAGCACAACATTCTCTTCTTACGGTCTCGTACGACCCTAATACCAAGAATATGTCTTGCTTATCCTAAGTCCTTCATATCAAACTGCTTAGACAACCACACCTTTACGTCTTACACATTCTTACTGTTTCCAATAAGAAGTATGTCATCCATGTACATCACAAGAAACACCACCACGCTCCCATTGATTTTCTTGTACACACAGTGCTCATCCGGACATTGAGTGAACCCGTACGACTGGATCACCTCGTCGAACCGAATATTCCAAGATCTCGAAGATTGCTTCAATCCATAAATGGACCGATTAAGTTTACACACTAGATGCTCACGTCCTTTTGCAATGAATCCCTCTGGTTTCTGCATATAGATGTCCTCCTGAAGGTTTCCGTTAAGGAAAGCCGTCTTGACATCCATCTGCCATACCTCATAATCTATATGAGTGGCTACAGCCAAGAGAATCTGAATGGTCTTAAGCATAGCTACTGGCGAAAAGGTCTCATCATAGTCTATACCCTCAATCTGGATATAACATTTCGCAACAAGCCTAGCTTTGAAGGTTTGCACTTCTCCATTGGATCCTCTCTTTCTCTTATAGATCCACTTACATCCAATGGGTCGTACCCCATTGGGTGGTTTTACAAGATCTCGAACTGATTAGAGTCCATTGACCCCATTTCAGCATTCATTACAACATTCTATGATTCTGCATCTTTATCTTGGAGTGCCTCGTTGTAGGTTCTTGGGTCCAATTCTAGGTTTCCTGGAACTGAGCCCTTAGACTCTCCAAGACCTATCCATCGGTCGGGTTATTGAGAAACCCTCCCACTACGACGAGGTACTGTTTGCACTGGTGCACTCTCAGTGTGTCGTGTTGCAGTATTATGTGATGTATCTACTTGCGTACTCGGTGGGGAACTATCGACTTCACCCCTCAACTCCTCTAAGACTAGTCTACTCGCGGGCTTGTGATTCATAATATAGTCTTCTTCCAAGAATCTAGCGTTCGTGCTAACGATCACCTTCTGATCCTTAGGACTATAAAATAATCCACCTTTCGTTCCCTTGGGATAGCCTACAAACACTCGTTCTTCCGAACGTTTCTCCAACTTGTCGGCTTCCTGCACTAACACGTGTGCAGGACTACCCCATACTCGAAACTGTGAGAAACTGGGCTTGCGCCCTTTCCACATTTCATAAGGTGTAGTTTCTACCGACTTTGAAGAAACCATGTTCAGAATATACACAGCTATTTCTAGAGCCAATCCCCAGAACGAATCTGGTAACTTTGAATAACTCATCATCGACCTAACCATTTCCATAAGAGTCCTATTTCTTCGTTCTGCAACCCCGTTC